AACTGAAGCATGACTGATCATATAAACAAGGCTTGTAATGCGGCATTTTATCATTTACTGAACTTTAGACGTATTAAGAAATACCTGTCGAGAGATTCTTTAATTACTTTGGTTCATACTTTTATAACCAGCCGTCTTGACTATTGTAATGGTTTATTGTTTGGCTTACCAAAGGCGCAGATCGCTAAATTACAGCGTGTACAAAATGCAGCAGCAAGACTTATTCTTGGCATCGGAAAGTTTTCTCACATTACTCCGGCGCTTTACAAGCAGCACTGGCTGCCGGTTTCTTTACGTATCGACTGTAAGATTTTACTTTTGACTTTTAAATGTATTTACGGCCTAGCGCCAACTTATCTTAGCGATCTTATTAGAATAAAATCGAATTCATTATATAATCTTAGGGCTACTGGTAAGCTCTTATTGGACCATCCCAACGGAAAGATGCTTACAACATTGGGAGCAAGATCATTCTCAGCAGCAGCTCCGAAACTCTGGAATAGCCCACCTGTGGAGCTTCGTCGAGCAACATCACTTAACAGTTTTAAATCTCGACTTAAAACCTATCTTTTTAAGAAGTATTTTTATAGCTTGTAACTTATTAGGTTATTTTATTCTCATGGCAATATGTATTTTTCGTTTTCTCTTAAACATATGATTGTAAAGCACTGTTGATCAGCACATGTAAATACGCGCTATATAAATTGGGGAATTATTATTATTATCTCCTTTATGACAGTCTTTGCTGGTGTTCTTTTTGTGCATCAGCCGGGCGCAAACCATGCACCTAGAGCGTCAGACACTCACTTATTATTAGTATTATTATTATAATCATAACTATAACAAAATTGTCACTGATTGGCTCTCAACTGCCGTGATTTCAGCCTTAATTGGACAGTTTAACAGGACAGTACGCGACATGCCTAAGTAATTGGACCGTACGCGCCATCACGCGCGCTCTTAATTGGCTTTTTTTTTTCACTGCTAGCAAAACAAAATTTCGAATTTCTTGTGTTGTGGTTTAAAAAATAGCCTATTGTATCACAAATTTTGTTAAAGTTATGATTAATTGGTAACAGAACTTCTTGTCGTCCAATTCAGTCTGTGATCATACTCGTGATTAAACAAATCGGACTCCCGCTACGCGGTCTTCCGATTTTGTTAATCACTCGTATGAGTACAGACCGAATTGGACTCCACTCAGTCCTGTTACCATTACTTATTATTATTATTATTATTATAATTATTATTATTATAATTATTATCTGTTGGTCGTGGTGTACTCCAAGGCGATTGCCTTAGCCCACTTCTCTTCAACTTGTGTTTTAACACGTTTCTACAGCATATTAAATCTGAAAAATACCGTCAATTTGGCTTTTCCCTCAAGTTCTTAAATCCCATCCACTGGTTCCAGTTCGCTGACGATACCGCTGTCATAAGCGGCCAGGAATCAGAAAATCAACATCTGATCAACCGCTTTATAATCTGGTGTAATTGGTCGAACATGATAATAACAGTTGATAAATGTTCTACTTTTGGAATACGGAAACTGTGCACTAAATCTGTCCAATATTTACCCAAACTGTTGATCAATGGAGTTCTAATTCCCTGTGTGGAAATGGGTGAATCATTTCGTTACTTAGGTCGCTTCTTTGACTTCAACATGTCTAACAACCAACACATGTCTGAATTGCCCTCTCTTGTACAAGACTTGATGAATGACGTTGATATAAAGCCACTGCATCCTAAACACAAACTTCTTCTCTACAGCCGCTATGTCCTATCTAAACTGTCCTGACATTTCACTATAGCTAATATATCCAAAACCTGGATAACGGAACATCTCGACTCTGTAGTGAATGGCTAATGGCTAAATTCGAAAATGGCATGATATTCCGATATCTGGAACACTGAGCAATGTTTCCCTAGAACGCAATAAATTTGGTCTTAATATTTTTCCTCCCTCTATTAAATTTACTCAGTGCCAAACAGTTCTCCGAAATTCATTAAAAGAGTCACCAAATGATTCCTTTAAAGATCTCTGGAAATCGTCAAGCTGTCACACTAATATTCAATATGATGTGTACAAATCCACTAAGGACGTTCTTAAAGATTTCCGTTCTAATCAAGAGGATAAACTGCAACACCACCTATCATCTCAAGGTTTTTTCTTCTCAAACGTTATGAAGTATTGATTGTCATCTACAAATTCTATTTGGTCTGAAGCCCAGTCTCATCTACCGAAGAACATTTACAATTTTACATCCGCTACATCAACAACTCCCTCCCTACACGTAAGAATATGGCAAGATGGGGATTATCACAAAGTCCTGATTGCTCCTCTTGCCTTAATCCTGAATCACTCCTTCATGTTGTCGCTGGTTGTCAACAGCACCTTGATCGCTTTACCTGGAGACACGACTCAATCCTTAACTTCATTGCCAAGTCACTTCAACCTGTAATTAATGTTCACTCTTCACTCTATGCAGATGTTAATGGTTTTCTGAATCCCTCAATAATAACTGGTGAAAATTATCGTCCAGATCTTCTTTTTCTAATCCAGTCCAAGTGCCTATATGTTCTAGAATTAACAGTTTGTTTCGAGTCTAACCTTAACAACAATGAGGTGCGTAAAAAAAGAAGAATATCTGAACTTGATCAACGAAATGAGTAGACATTACAGATGTGTGAAATTTGTAAAACTCTCCATGAGCTCCCTTGGCGTTTTCTCCCATGAGTGCTCCACGTTCTTAGACATGATGAATGACATAGACATTGACAAAAAGCGTGAACTTTATATAATGAAGTAAATGATAAATATAGCCATTAGAGCAACATATTACATCTTTTGTTGTAGAAATAAGAATTGGGACAGCCCAGACTTAATGCAATTTTGATTTCTTTTCTTTTTTCTTCTTCTTCCTTTATTTTTTAATCATCCAATCTCAAGCAGCATTTGTAAATTGCCTATACCTAGTGAGATTTACAATTGTACACTCGAAAACCTAAATAAAGTTTCCATTATTATTATTATTAATTTCTATTGCAATTTAAGGGAGGGCCACAGCTTTGTCACTGTTCCACTGGACAGTGCTACCCCTAATAAAAAAAAGTTCTTCTTCTTATTATCACTATTATTATTGTTGGTACTTTTCTTCTTCTTCTTCTTTTTCTTATTTTTATTGTAATATATTAGGTTCCAGGCTCCTTGTATTTTGCACTTTCGCAGAATATTAAAAATGGAGAACTATGCACATGGCTCGTTTTCATGCTGTAGTTTCATGACTTAAATATTACAATTATTATTATTATTATTAGTATTATTATTATTATTATTATTAATATTATAGATGTCCGCTATGTGAATAAGGAGGAGAAAAAGACTTCAGTTGGAAAAAAAAAAAAAAAACAACAACGACAACAACAGATTAGTCCACCGGCCACCCGATCAAAGATGTCATCAGGTGAAAGAGTGGTCTCTAAGTTTTGTGCAAGACAATACTCTTTCGCTAAAAAAGCTGTCCTGCATGGGGAAACTCGTGCAAGATCTGGGGTAAGCCTAACTTTTTGCTTTTTGCTGCAACCATCACAGAAAAAGTTTTTTTTTTCATCGAGTGTGAATCTGAAGGTTAAGAATATGTGACCGTGATTGCAGATGAAGAACAGCTCATTTCCGCAGCCGCAGCAGGCAACCCCGACCCGAAGTCTTTGCCACACTCTTTCCAACAAGGTAGTGGCTCAGCTGTGGACATGACATGGCTTATAAAACAGGGAAACTTTATATGGAGAGAACAGACTGGATGGCCTGAAGAAAATGTCAGTGACCTCTGCTTATGTATAACCAGTCGGAAGTTTAAAACCTTTGGGCAAGAAATTCGTTTCAAGGTAGCACAAGAAAAGTACCTCGTTACTGTTACTGGTGCTTGCAAGTCCATTCTTGGTTTGAGAGTTAGAGAGCATGCACCTACAACTGCTGATCATGTATAAACAGACTATACTTACCATGGATTACCATGCTGTTGAGAGTGCAGTTTTTATACAAAGGAGGATTGCCTATCGCAATACAAAGATGTTTTCTCAGGAGAAGAAAAAATGGAATTGTACATTCAGTTTAACTGCTGTCAACGAAAAGAGTACCAATTGCTCTAAAACAGACGCTTAAAAAAGAATTGGACCAGTTGTCCAGCATTGGAGTGATTCAGAGAGTTGATGCTCCTACTGAGTGGATCTCGGCACTTGTACAAAGCACAAAGAATCAGGCTTTTCACATAAACCACTTACCCCAGCCCATGATACATGATGTTCTTCTCCTGCTCTCAAAGGTTTGCCAAAAATGGGTTCTGGCATATCCAATCATATGAATTATGCAGTATTGTAACCACTTTTGGAATACCTTGAGGTATTTGTATTGTCTCCAACTCAGAAAAAAAATTCAGAAGCGAATTGATTTGGCACTTGAAGAGCTACAAGGGTAGAAGGCTATAGCAGATGACATCCTTGTCTTTGGATCAGGGGATACAGATTAGGAAGCCCTTGGAGATCATGACCCGTAAAGAGAGGTGCTCAACCGCTGCCAGCGGAAGGGCCTCAAGTTGAATACCGATAAGATGCAATTCAGACAGAACGAAGTCACTTACTGTAATGTTCTTTATCTGATAGCACGATGGATCTGGATAAAACAGCTTAGTAAACAGGATCCAAGTTTTTTATTCCAACATGGCTGACCCAGGTGGTCATGCGCACGCTTACACTCATACAAAATACCGCTGATCATTACAACTTTCCCCTAACAAAAACGAAAAGAAAACAAATAAACAAACAGGATAAGTACACCTTGATACCAAGATTGGTAATACGGTCTAATGTCAAAAGGACAACAATTTCATGTAAAGTTCAAAATGTTTCCTCTAATTTCAACTTGTGAGAAATTTGCAAACTGCGACTAACAGAACCTTCGAAACAATGTTTATCAACATTCCATATCAATGATGAGTTCAGTGTCACATAACATAATCCTTGAAACGCAAAGGCCTTCTCACAGTTCTTCCACTTGCTGTCTTGAGAGGCTCTAAGATTTCCTCCTCGGATGAATACATTTCCCCTTGCTCTTGGGATGTCGAAATGGGCTCTTCAACAGATGGGATTGCTTGATTGGCTGCTTCCTTTGAGGTTGAATGCTCATTTGCTCTCACGGTTGGAGACTTAGGATGAGGTGAGATGTCTGTTGCTGATAGACCACTCTCTGGTGATTTTATTAACGCTCTTCTATTTCTGCGGTATTCTCTACCTTCATCAGTTCGAATCCTATAGCATCTTGGTGTTTCTGCGTGTTCTGTTACAACGCCTGGTTTCCAATGGCTTCCCATTTGTACTCTGATCCGGTCACCTTTCTCTAATGTGGGAAGATGTTTGGCATGCTGATCAAAATAGTGCTTTTGTTTTTCCTGTTTGAGCCTCAGTTTCTCCATAACTTTGTGTGGATTAAAGACTTTAGGCTGCAACTGTGCGTTGGTAGTGGGAATGATTGATCTTAATCGCCGGCTCATAAGCAGTTGCGCTGGTGAACCAATATCATCTATTGGTGTGTTCCTGTACTCAAGTAGTGCCAAATAAGGATCCCTGCGATCTTGTTTTGCTTTGGTTAGTAGATTTTTCACTGTTTGTACTTCTTTCTCAACAAGACCATTTGCTTGGGGGTACAGTGGACTGACAGTAGTGTGTTTGAATTCCCATTGTTTAGCAAACAGTGAAAAGTCCTTTCAGGAGTACTGGGGACCATTGTCACTGATTACTTCGGATGGTATTCCATGTCTGGCAAATATAGATTTAGTGTAGGTGATGACTGTGGTGCTTTTGGTGTCTGGTAGTTTGGCTATTTCAAAATATCTGGAGTGATAGTCAACAACTATCAGGTATTCAGATTTGTCCCAGTTGAACAAGTCTGTGGCGACCATTTCCCAGGGCTTGCGCGGTAAGCGAGAAGGGATCATTGGCTCTTTCGTGTTTTGCCGTTGATGCTCTAAGCAGGTGGTGCACCTTGATATCATGTCGCTGATTTGAGAATTCATTCCTGGCCAGTATAGGACATCTCTTGCTCGTCGTTTGGACATGTGGCCTTGATGTATCCTTTGTAGTATTTCTTTTCTCATAGATGACGGGACTAGTATTCTGTCATTTTTGAGAATAACACCCTCGACTTCAGAGAGCTCATCTCTTACATTCCAGTAGACTTGAATACTTGCTGGTGTGCAAGATTTTGTTTCTGGCCATCCTGACTTGATCGCATCCTTCGGTTCTTTCAATGATGGGTGATTACCTGTGGCTTCTTTAATTTCTTCTAGTTTGGGCTTCGAGACTGGTAGGTTAGGAGTTAGCAAATGGACATGTAGTGCAATTTCTTCTTCCATGCTGCCATATGCTGTTTCAGGAAGTGGTGCTCTAGAGAGCATATCCGGAAGCACTAACTCCTTTCCTGGCTTGTATTCCAAAGTGTAGTCATACTTCTGCATTCTAAGCAGGATTCTTTGTAGTCTTGGTGGTGCTGATGCTAGTGCCTGTTTAACAATGGCCTCAAGTGGCTTGTGATCTGACTCAATGGTAACTTTCTTTCCATAAATGTATTGGTGGAAACGTTCTAAGCTGAACTGAACAGCTAAGAGTTCCTTCTCAATTTGAGCGTATCTTGATTCTGCGTCAGTGAGGGATCTTAACGCATAGGCAACAGGACGTTCTTCTTGTAGCAGCACCCCTCCTAGGCCGGTTGGGGAGGCATCACAGCTGATCGTAACAGGCTTTTGTACATCAAAGAATTTCAGGACTGGCCCTCCATCTTTAGTTAGGATGCTTTTAATTTCATGAAGTGCTTTTTCTTGTTCACGTGCCCACTGAAACTCAATGTCCTTTCGTAGTAGAACTCTGATAGGTTCAGTGACAGTTGCCAGATTTGGAATGAACTTGCCCTAGTAATTGACTGTTCCAAGGAGTCTTTCTACTCCTTTCTTGTCAGTTGGTGCAGGCATGTCATTGATGGCACGCACCTTTTCATCATCAGGTTTGATTCCTTCTTGTGTGAGTTTGTGACCAATGTAGGTGACTTCTTTGACTTTAAAGACGCACTTTTCTTTGTTCAGTGTTAGGTTGATCTTCTCACATCGTTCCAGGACAGCGTGTACACGATGGTCGTGTTTAACTTCTGTTTCTGCATGCACTATTATGTCATCGATGTCGGTTTCAACTCCTTCCAAGTCGCCAAAATGTTGACTCATCCGCTTTTGGAAAACTTCCTGAGCAGATGTGATTCCGAATGGAGTGACCTGATAGCAGTACCGCCCGAAAGGTGTGTTGAAGGTGGTTAGAAGTTGACTTTCTTTATCAAGAGGTATCTGCCAGTATCCTCGGTTTGCATCAAGCTTAGTGAACCATTTTGCATTTGCCATGCGTGTAGTGATGTCTTCGATGGTGGGAAGCTGAAAGTGTTCCCGTTTTATTGCTTTATTGAGGTGCCTTGGATCTAAACAAATCCGCAGACTACCATTAGGCTTTTCAACAATGGCCATAGAATTGACCCAATCTGTGGGTTCTTCTACCTTGCGAACAACTCCTCTTCTTTCCATGTCATCCAGTTCTTCTTTCACTCTGTCGCGAAGAGCTGCTGGGACCGTTCTAGGTGGGTTTACGACAGGTGTCACAGTAGGGTCTATTTCAATGTGGTAAGGTTTCTCCAAGCGTCCCAACCCAGTGAATACCTGCGTGTATTTCTGCAGTACTTCTTTTTTCAGTTCTTCAGACAACTTCGTAACCTCTTCACTTTTGTCTGGTTCAGTTTGCTTTTCTTCTGTCTTGGCCACCATAACTACTTTGATTAGACCCAGATCTTGGGATGCTGTGAGCCCCAATAATCCTGGTTGATTTGTCTCCACTATGTGGAATGTCAGCTCATGTTCTACATCTGTTTTAGATTTCACTGGTAGTTTGGCTGTGCCAAGTACAGTTAGCTTATCTTCAGAGTAACTGACTAGATTATGTGTGCAGGCATTTATCTGTGGATTGCTTCCAACTATCTTCTTTAGGTCTTTGAACGGCATGATGTTAACTTGAGAACCCGTGTCAATTTTGAGTTTTGCGATATGTCCTTTCACTGGCAACATCACATAGCACTCCTCATTCTGGATCCGAACTTCAGTAGTGACAGCTCCTACAAATAGGGTTGAGTCAGGAATATTTCCTTCTTGTTGCTCTACACCCAGTTCATGGACCTTTTTCCGTGATCTGCATACACTCTGGAAGTGATTTCGTCTCTGACAATAGTTACATGTTTTGCCATATGCAGGACACTCCCTTGCGCCATGTCTTGTTCCACAGTTCCCGCAATTGAACTTCTTGCTTGGAGGTCTTTTTTCCTCATTATCTGAAGGTGTTTTCTTGTCAGTTGACTTGTTCTTCTCCCTTCCAATTCCATGCACTGATGAGTCGTCCAGTTCTTTCATTTGCATATCCGTAGCTTCTGCAGATCGTACCACATCTAATGCTTTCTGAAGTGTAAGGTCTGGCACCCAGAGTAATCTTTCTCTTGTTTTTGTGTTGTTTACACCAAGTACAATTCGGCCCTTGATGAGAGAGTTCTTCAATGTTCCAAATTCACATGTTTCACAAAGCTTTCTTAATATTGTTACGTACTGGTCGATGCTTTCGCCGCTTTCTTGGGCTCTTGAGAAGAATTGGTATCTCTCGTAGCTGACATTTTTCTTGGGTTCACAGTGTTCCTCAAATTTCAACAGCACCTTTTCGATTTTTTTGTCATCGCCTTCTTCGTCCCAAGTTAGAGTGTTAAAAACATCAATAGCATCGTTGCCAATAACTGTTAGAAGTGTTGCTACTCTGGTTGCACTATCCTTCGAACTTATTCCGGTCGCAATTTCGTAATTTGTATATTTCTGTTTGAACTTCTTCCAATTGGCTGATATGTTTCCTCCTCTCAAGTCGAGAGCTTCTGGAGGTGGAAGACCTAAATGCATCGCCATTTCAGGTGTGTTTTCTTCGTCTTCAACTGGTTGCTGTATTTCCTCTGTGTTTTCTTCGTCTTCAACTTGTTAATGCTGTACTTCTGCAGTGTTTTCTTCCCCCGCGGGCGTGATAGGAATCGACTGATCCTGTGACATGAATTACGATCGCCGATGTTGATTGCTCTGAAATACGGCCGTTATTTTATTCAAATCTTCGCCATATCGATGGCTGAGGTTCTTGTTCGTACTTTACTTCTGACACCATGTAATGTTCTTTATCTGATAGCACGATGGATCTGGATAAAACAGCTTAGTAAACAGGATCCAAGTTTTTTATTCCAACATGGCTGACCCAGGTGGACATGCGCACGCTTACACTCATACAAAATACCGCTGATCATTACACTTGCCTGGACCACGTCCTATCTTCAGAGGGTCTCGGCGGTGATCCAAGCAAGCTGAGGGCCATTAATGACATACCGGCCCGCAAAGACAGGCAACGTGTCCACTAGAGAGTACTTGGCGTGGTAAATTATCTGAAGAAGTTCTCCCCTGAACTAGCCGACTTATCCAAGCCGTTGAGAGAGCTAAGCAAGAAAGATGGCTATCCAGTGACATATGCACCTATATCGCTTACTGCCACTGCGGTCAGCTACACCCAAATTGAAAAAGAACTGTTTTCAATTGCCTTCAGCATTGAGGGGTTTGAGGGCTATTTCTCTGGAAGAAAGGTCTTTATTCAAACTGATCACAAACCCTCGGAGTCTATTATGTTTAAGAGTCTGCTGACTGCCCCCAAGAGGTTATAAAGAATGTTGCGGTTAAAAACGTTTAAATTGGAAATAGCTTACAGTAAAGGAATCAAACACATAATGCAGATCCGTTTAGCAAAGCTTATCTCCCTTCAGCCAATCAAAATGAAGCAGTCAAGGAAGACGCGTGGAATGTCAGTGACATTAGGTCACCAACCGAAGTGGAAGCCGAGCACATGAATATGGCAAAGTTTGGACCTGCCAATTCGTCAAGTAACTTTGTCCGAAATAAAGGCTGCTGAGGCGGAAACTGATGCGGTGCTTGAGTCGTTAGAAACCGTCATCAAGCAGGGGTGGCCAGAGAATTTGTCGGCTGTACCCCCCTCTCTGCATGATCAGAGAGGAACTGTCGGTTCTGAATGGTTTTGTGTTGAAGAGTTAAAGAATCGAGGTACCACTTAGTTTGAGACAATGTGTTATTGACAAAACACATGCAAGTCAAATGGGTATCTAGGGCTTTCTTCGGAGGGCTAACCTAAGTTAGCTTTAAGCTTTCTACTGGCGTATAAGCCGATTCAAGAGTTCATTTCTAGGTGCAGAGTCCGTAATAGTTGCAAACCAACACAACAAAAAGAACCTCTAGTGTGCCACAAAATACCAACAAGACCCTGGCAAAGCATCTCGTCAGAACTCTTTAAGCTCAACGGTATTGACTACCTTGTTATCACTGATCGCTATTGTAGCTTTTTTTTTGAACTGGACAAGTTGGGGTCAAAGACTTCCAAAGAGACTATTGCTCGCTGAAACCTCATTTCCCAAAATGCGGACTGCCAGATACAGAGTGTAGACTCAATACGGTCAATTGGTCGCAGTTTGACTTTGGTGAAAATGAGAACTTTGCTAAAGATTTCCTGTTTGAGCATATCAAAACGTCACCTAGATATCCCTAGTCAATAGGAAACCAGAGACCTGTATGAAAGCAGCAAAGTCTGTACTAAAGAAAGTTGCAGATTCAGGCTGTGATCCACATCAATCAATGGATCAATCAATCAATCAATCAATCAAAACCTTTATTCATGCACGATGACATTTAGAAATTGGCAGCTGAAGGGGTCGTGTATAGGATATATAGTGACACAAATTTTTCGACTAAAATAAGTTAAAAAGAGTAAGATCAAAACACTAAAAAACAGAATAAAATGAAATAAATTCTTAAAATACTTTTAAAATTAACTCTTTCGAACAATTTCACAGATTTTTCGACAGTGAAACGAATAAAAACATCTAAAACGTCTTACTGTACAGGTTACTAAAAACACGTAATATTTTATACAAACCAATATCTTTAATTGCATTCTGCTCGTGAACGATTTCAACAAAGCTAGCTTGTGTCTCCCGACGAAATTGCATTTTCTAACCTTGTAATAGATAATTAAAACAATTTTCTTTGGGCACCATTCTTTCCTCCGAAAATAATGAATAAAAAATAAATAAATAAATAAATGAGTTCGAGTTTAATCTTGGAACTGACGCGTAAATTGATCATATTTAGGGAGCATGCTCCAAACAATAGAATTGTATCATCCAATAATTCAGTTTCTGATAAATATATTTAACAATTATTCCACGAGCGCGCGTTGGATATGAGATGGTAAATAGCCAACGAGGCGCGTAGCGCCGAGTTGGCTATAATCATCTCATATCCAACAAGCGCGAGTGGAATAATTGTTTTATTAAAAACGCCCCCAAGATTAGACAAATCTTCCCGCATTTATTTTGTAAGAAAAAACCGGATGTTACTATATAGAGATAATTTCCGGTTTAACTCATTTCATGACATGTCACATGTCTATCAAAAACTGTCAAATCCTGCGCACGTTGTTCTGAATGAATTATAAGAAACGCGACGTTCAAAATACATCAAGTTTGTCAAATTTTCGCTGCTTGAATAAGTGAAAAAATTTCTGTTAATGTTTACAAGACACAGTTTAACCGCTTCCGCTAAAATTATTGTGAACTTGCACACTGGTGCAGTTGTAAAAGTTAAACTGGGGAGGAAAGCGATGCAGCCCTTGCTCGCCATGTGCGTAGTTTTCATGCATGTTGTTGGAAACCGCCACTTGATTATGCTGGACGAGAACTGACGCTGGGGATGCTTGAATTGCCGTGGTGGATGAGCTTGTAGCCTGTAAGTCCAGCTGCCGTCCCGCTGTGTTTTCTTTGTCAACTGAAGTGGCTTCGTGGCCATGAAGGAAGGAGTTGAGCGCTTCCGACATCTTCTTTTGCTGGTCGAGGGAAGGTCGATCGTTATAACTTTCGATTGAATGGTCGGACTTGTGGCCGGTGACTGATTTAATGTGCCTCGTCTCACAGACGTCACCGAAGTTGCCCTGAGGCAATTATTCGTGAGGTGAGGCTGGATCCCTGCTCGAGAGCTCATTAACTTCAACATCGAATCTAGACTGTTGACTCCAAGTGGCGAATTGTAGTACCACACTTTATCTTCGTCAGGATTAAAGCTTCTTGCTTTTTCCCGTGGACGCTGAAAAAGGCAATCTAACTTAGGATTCAAGTGAGACAAGTAATTTTTTATGGTTTTCACCGGGCATTTGGCAGATTCTGGCGAAGCAAATATTTTCGCGTCCGACTCATCTTCGGCATCGGAAAGGCCACCTTGATGGTTTTTCGTCGCTGGCAACGAGCCTGGAAACTCTCTGTTGAGCTCAAAATACTCTTCTCCTTGTGGAGTGGCTCTGAGGGCAAGCATAGCAGGTTTCATATCTCGCTGGTTTTCTCTGCCACGTCTTCCGAAGTATATGCCAAGGTAGAACCACGCTGTTCTTTGAAGCTGTGCTGGATCTTTGGTGTCTGCCGGACCAAGTTCACCGCTTTGGAAGAGCTTCTCAACTTGCTGTTTCGAGATGGCCTTTTTATGCACAATACCACTATTTTTTCCAGATTTTCTTAGGTCCTTGACAAATGCGTCTAAGATCTTGTTTGCTTCGGTAAAAGCAGGGTCGGCAACGATAGAAAACTGTTTGGAGTGTGGAGGCATGCGAAGATACCTGTCAATGGCTGCACGAATTGCCTTCAAGGAGGATGACTTGTAAAATTGACCATCTTGTTTTCTTGCGGATGTATAAAAACTTTTTAGGCAAGCATTGAGTTCCTCTTTATTCATTTCTTCGATTGGTGTAACACTAAATGTGTTCCCCGAAGTCAAAAGCCAGTCTGACAAGGTTAGTGAAATGTAACCAATTAACTTAATTAATTTGTAAATTGTCTCAACTTGCATTGTTTTGATTCGCGTTATTAAGCTATAAACACAGATGCTTAAATTGTCAAAATAAAGTTTTGAAGTTGCTACCTTGAAATATTTTCATGCCATACTTTGTGGCTTTCTTTGTGCTCCCTGGTGTTGCGTTTTGTAACAGTTCAAGGTCTTCTTTTTCATTTAACTCCGGCGCGAAGCGATTTTCACCGGCAGCCATTGTTTCCTGAGCGAAAATTTTTTAGCTCCCTTTTAATTTTAAGCTGACGCGTACACTTACCATATTTGTAGCTTATGGTATATTAGCTCATATACCATGATAGCTAAGCCAATGAAAAGTCTTGAATTGCATTATCCAATGATTCAGTTTTTAATAAATATATATATATATACCTATACATTTATCTTGTCCATTTTTGGAAAACCCTTGCTTGCAGACACACTCAAAGGATCCTTCAGTGTTCTTGCACTTCGCAGTAGCGAAATCACAGTTGTGAGTTTCGGTCTCACACTCATCTCTGTCTGCAAATCAAAATTAATGGATAGGTTATCAGACTGACTTAGTTCAACTTTTATGCCCATTGAAGGAGAGAATAAAGTGCAATGCCTTCAATTAAATAACGCGACATGATCCCACGGATCACTTAGAGGAGGTGTGTGACCAAATTTACTAAAATTCCAACACTCGGAACTGTCATCAGACTGCCGTGAGTGATAACAAAAAAATAACCACTCAAAACATTAGAAGAAGGGACAGATAACACAAAAAATAGAAAACTTGAGGAAAGAACGGGCAAACATGAAGAAAATGAAAGTGGATTGCAATTGTGGTTTTGAAGAGGTTTTCAAAGTTTATTTTGTTCTTAGCAAATTTTGGTATAATCCTTGAGAGACATATCTGTTTGACACCAAGCTGTAATTTTCCTATTCACTGCTGTTAGAGCGACGAACTTGTATTTCGAAGGCCCCGAGTTGAAGTCCTGCTCTGACTGCTGCCTGGATTTGTTCTCAATTGTCCCGAATTCAAATTCTCGGCCACGCTTGTAAAATAGCCAACTGGTTCACCTCAGTACCAGTTACAATTTTTGACCATGTTATGTTCCATTTAAATCATTTGTTTCATTATCCCTGAAAGCCCCATATTAGGGGCAGGATAATTGAAGTATTATGATAATGTTAATCATAATCATAATCATAATCATTATCATAATAGTAATCATTATTTAAATTATTATTATTACAAATTATACCAGTGAAAGTAAATTGTAGTTATTTTATACTATATAAACCTTCGAGTTTAAACCATAAAATAATTTGATCAGAAAGGGTTAGCTTTTTCTTTTTTCCTAGGTGCCGCAAATTTTTACGACGACGTCACGGTTCGAGGTTGTCCGTTATAGTGAGAAGTGATGCCATTTGCTTTTATTGAAATGAGTGGATGAAAATTGATCGCTCTTTTTTGTATACAAATCATGTCCGGTTACATACCAAATTAACTATTACAGCTGATTCTTAAGTCGTGGTACTAGCCGATTAATAAAATGGATTTACAAAGAGATAGGAATTGCTCTTGCTGAAAGAAAAAACAACAACATCAACTAGCTTAATAACGAACAGACTACAAACCACTAAGCTGAAACTTATGTCATGTTAGGCCCCTTTCAAACATGGAATTTCTTATGAGTGCCGAACACCTATTTTAGTCAAAGAAAATAATTAAAGACGGCAGTTGATTCAGACGTCGGATATAATGGTGCCGAATTTAAATCCGTTTGTTTAAATATTCCCAGTCTCTAGAAAAAATTGTTACCCAATATGGATAAGGGGTTTCTATAATTAATGCATTACATTCGGCACATGTGAAATGCGACTTCTAAATCAAATGTTGAACCTAAGTTGAATTTTCGACTGTAATTCAGTCGTAGATTGGGCAAAGTCGTATTTAATTTAAAACTGTTGATTCAGACATCGCATCTCAAAGCAGTTACCTCTAGAATTGAATTAGGCACATGTGAAATTCGACGTTTGAACTGGGTAATGGTGACAGTGCGTTATGATACATACGGCATTTTTTTATATTCCTGTAAATTTTGCTTTCAATTTACCACATTATGTTACTAGCTATATGCACCACACAGGTAAAAAAGAGAGTGAAAAAGAAAAAGAAAAAAATTAATGTCACGATAATCTTGCTTATAGAGGATTCGAACCCGGACCCTCCAAATACGTTAGAACTAAAAATGAACTCTTCTATCCAATGGCCCACCCCGGTAAGCGTTGACAAAAGACGTTTAAAACCTCAAATATGCTATTTTATTTTAATCCAATGATGAAATCTTGTCACAGCAACAAAAAACCCTAATTCAGCGATGGTCACGTGACTGATGACGTCATCACCCTAGAAGTGACATGAGAAGATATTTTGTGGCAAGTGTAAGGTCTGGCACCCAGAGTAATCTTTCTCTTGTTTTTTGTGTTGTTTACACCAAGTACAATTCGGCCCTTGATGAGAGAGTTCTTCAATGTTCCAAATTCACATGTTTCACAAAGCTTTCTTAATATTGTTACGTACTGGTCGATGCTTTCGCCGCTTTCTTGGGCTCTTGAGAAGAATTTGTATCTCTCGTAGCTGACATTTTTCTTGGGGTTCACAGTGTTCCTCAAATTTCAACAGCACCTTTTCGATTTTTTTGTCATCGCCTTCTTCGTCCCAAGTTAGAGTGTTAAGAACATCAATAGCATCGTTGCCAATAACTGTTAGAAGTGTTGCTACTCTGGTTGCACTATCCTTCGAACTTATTCCGGTCGCAATTTCGTAATTTGTATATTTCTGTTTGAACTTCTTCCAATTGGCTGATATGTTTCCTCCTCTCAAGTCGAGAGCTTCTGGAGGTGGAAGACCTAAATGCATCGCCATTTCAGGTGTATTTTCTTCGTCTTCAACTGGTTGCTGTATTTCCTCTGTGTTTTCTTCGTCTTCAACTTGTTAATGCTGTACTTCTGCAGTGTTTTCTTCCCCCGCGGGCGTGATAGGAATCGACTGATCCTGTGACATGAATTACGATCGCCGATGTTGATTGCTCTGAAATACGGCCGTTATTTTATTCAAATCTTCGCCATATCGATGGCTGAGGTTCTTGTTCGTACTTTACTTCTGACACCATGTAATGTTCTTTATCTGATAGCACGATGGATCTGGATAAAACAGCTTAGTAAACAGGATCCAAGTTTTTTATTCCAACATGGCTGACCCAGGTGGACATGCGCACGCTTACACTCATACAAAATACCGCTGATCATTACACTTGCCTGGACCACGTCCTATCTTCAGAGGGTCTCGGCGGTGATCCAAGCAAGCTGAGGGCCATTAATGACATACCGGCCCGCAAAGACAGGCAACGTGTCCACTAGAGAGTACTTGGCGTGGTAAATTATCTGAAGAAGTTCTCCCCTGAACTAGCCGACTTATCCAAGCCGTTGAGAGAGCTAAGCAAGAAAGATGGCTATCCAGTGACATATGCACCTATATCGCTTACTGCCACTGCGGTCAGCTACACCCAAATTGAAAAAGAACTGTTTTCAATTGCCTTCAGCATTGAGGGGTTTGAGGGCTATTTCTGTGGAAGAAAGGTCTTTATTCAAACTGATCACAAACCCTCGGAGTCTATTATGTTTAAGAGTCTGCTGACTGCCCCCAAGAGGTTGTAAAGAATGTTGCGGTTACAAACGTTTAAATTGGAAATAGCTTACAGTAAAGGAATGGAACACATAATGCAGATCCGTTTAGCAAAGCTTATCTCCCTTCAGCCAATCAAAATGAAGCAGTCAAGGAAGACGCGTGGAATGTCAGTGACATTAGGTCACCAACCGAAGTGGAAGCCGAGCACATGAATATGGCAAAGTTTGGACCTGCCAATTCGTCAAGTAACTTTGTCCGAAATAAAGGCTGCTGAGGCGGAAACTGATGCGGTGCTTGAGTCGTTAGAAACCGTCATCAAGCAGGGGTGGCCAGAGAATTTGTCGGCTGTACCCCCCTCTCTGCATGATCAGAGAGGAACTGTCGGTTCTGAATGGTTTTGTGTTGAAGAGTTAAAGAATCGAGGTACCACTTAGTTTGAGACAATGTGTTATTGACAAAACACATGCAAGTCAAATGGGTATCTAGGGCTTTCTTCGGAGGGCTAACCTAAGTTAGCTTTAAGCTTTCTACTGGCGTATAAGCCGATTCAAGAGTTCATTTCTAGGTGCAGAGTCCGTAATAGTTGCAAACCAACACAACAAAAAGAACCTCTAGTGTGCCACAAAATACCAACAAGACCCTGGCAAAGCATCTCGTCAGAACTCTTTAAGCTCAACGGTATTGACTACCTTGTTATCACTGATCGCTATTGTAGCTTTTTTGAACTGGACAAGTTGGGGTCAAAGACTTCCAAAGAGACTATTGCTCGCTGAAACCTCATTTCCCAAAATGCGGACTGCCAGATACAGAGTGTAGACTCAATACGGTCAATTGGTCGCAGTTTGACTTTGGTGAAAATGAGAACTTTGCTAAAGATTTCCTGTTTGAGCATATCAAAACGTCACCTAGATATCCCTAGTCCAATAGGAAACCAGAGACCTGTATGAAAGCAGCAAAGTCTGTACTAAAGAAAGTTGCAGATTCAGGCTGTGATCCACATCAATCAATGGATCAATCAATCAATCAATCAATCAAAACCTTTATTCATGCACGATGACATTTAGAAATTGGCAGCTGAAGGGGTCGTGTATAGGATATATAGTGACACAAATTTTTCGACTAAAATAAGTTAAAAAGAGTAAGATCAAAACACTAAAAAAAAGAATAAAATGAAATAAATTCTTAAAATACTTTTAAAATTAACTCTTTCGAACAATTTCACAGATTTTTCGACAGTGAAACGAATAAAAACATCTAAAACGTCTTACTGTACAGGTTACTAAAAACACGTAATATTTTATACAAACCAATATCTTTAATTGCATTCTGCTCGTGAACGATTTCAACAAAGCTAGCTTGTGTCTCCCGACGAAATTGCATTTTCTAACCTTGTAATAGATAATTAAAACAATTTTCTTTGGGCACCATTCTTTCCTCCGAAAATAATGAATAAAAAATAAATAAATAAATAAATGAGTTCGAGTTTAATCTTGGAACTGACGCGTAAATTGATCATATTTAGGGAGCATGCTCCAAACAATAGAATTGTATCATCCAATAATTCAGTTTCTGATAAATATATTTAACAATTATTCCACGAGCGCGCGTTGGATATGAGATGGTAAATAGCCAACGAGGCGCGTAGCGCCGAGTTGGCTATAATCATCTCATATCCAACAAGCGCGAGTGGAATAATTGTTTTATTAAAAACGCCCCCAAGATTAGACAAATCTTCCCGCATTTATTTTGTAAGAAAAAACCGGATGTTACTATATAGAGATAATTTCCGGTTTAACTCATTTCATGACATGTCACATGTCTATCAAAAACTGTCAAATCCTGCGCACGTTGTTCTGAATGAATTATAAGAAACGCGACGTTCAAAATACATCAAGTTTGTCAAATTTTCGCTGCTTGAATAAGTGAAAAAATTTCTGTTAATGTTTACAAGACACAGTTTAACCGCTTCCGCTAAAATTATTGTGAACTTGCACATTGGTGCAGTTGTAAAAGTTAAACTGGGGAGGAAAGCGATGCAGCCCTTGCTCGCAATGTGCGTAGTTTTCATGCATGTTGTTGGAAACCGCCACTTGATTATGCTGGACGAGAACTGACGCTGGGGATGCTTGAATTGCCGTGGTGGATGAGCTTGTAGCCTGTAAGTCCAGCTGCCGTCCCGCTGTGTTTTCTTTGTCAACTGAAGTGGCTTCGTGGCCATGAAGGAAGGAGCTGAGCGCTTCCGACATCTTCTTTTGCTGGTCGAGGGAAGGTCGATCGTTATAACTTTCGATTGAATGGTCGGACTTGTGGCCGGTGACTGATTTAATGTGCCTCGTCTCACAGACGTCACCGAAGTTGCCCTGAGGCAATTATTCGTGAGGTGAGGCTGGATCCCTGCTCGAGAGCTCATTAACTTCAACGTCGAATCTAGACTGTTGACTCCAAGTGGCGAATTGCAGTACCACACTTTATCTTCGTCAGGATTAAAGCTTCTTGCTTTTTCCCGTGGACGCTGAAAAAGGCAATCTAACTTAGGATTCAAGTGAGACAAGTAATTTTTTATGGTTTTCACCGGGCATTTGGCAGATTCTGGCGAAGCAAATATTTTCGCGTCCGACTCATCTTCGGCATCGGAAAGGCCACCTTGATGGTTTTTCGTCACTGGCAACGACCCTGGAAACTCTCTGTTGAGCTCAAAATACTCTTCTCCTTGTGGAGTGGCTCTGAGGGCAAGCATAGCAGGTTTCATATCTCGCTGGTTTTCTCTGCCACGTCTTCCGAAGTATATGCCAAGGTAGAACCACGCTGTTCTTTGAAGCTGTGCTGGATCTTTGGTGTCTGCCGGACCAAGTTCACCGCTTTGGAAGAGCTTCTCAACTTGCTGTTTCTAGATGGCCTTTTTATGCACAATACCACTAATTTTTCCAGATTTTCTTCGGTCCTTGACAAATGCGTCTAAGATCTTGTTTGCTTCGGTAAAAGCAGGGTCGGCAACGATAGAAAACTGTTTGGAGTGTGGAGGCATGCGAAGGTACCTGTCAATGGCTGCACGAATTGCCTTCAAGGAAGATGACTTGTAAAATTGACCATCTTGTTTTCTTGCGGATGTATAAAAACTTTTTAGGCAAGCATTGAGTTCCTCTTTATTCATTTCTTCGATTGGTATAACACTAAATTTGTTCCCCGAAGTCAAAAGCCAGTCTGAAAAGGTTAGTGAAATGTAACCAATTAACTTAATTAATTTGTAAATTGTCTCAACTTGCATTGTTTTGATTCGCGTTATTAAACTATAAACACAGATGCTTAAATTGTCAAAATAAAGTTTTGAAGTTGCTACCTTGAAATATTTTCTGCCATACTTTGTGGCTTTCTTTGTGCTCCCTGGTGTTGCGTTTTGTAACAGTTCGAGGACTTCTTTTTCATTTAACTCCGGCGCGAAGCGATTTTCACTTTCAGCCATTGTTTCCTGAGCGAAAATTTTTTAGCTCCCTTTTAATTTTAAGCTGACGCGTACACTTACCATATTTGTAGCTTATGGTATATTAGCTCATATACCATGATAGCTAAGCCAATGAAAAGTCTTGAATTGCATTATCCAATGATTCAGTTTTTAATAAATATATATATATACCTATACATTTATCTTGTCCATTTTTGGAAAACCCTTGCTTGCAGACACACTCAAAGGATCCTTCAGTGTTCTTGCACCTCGCAGTAGCGAAATCACAGTTGTGAGTTTCGGTCTCACACTCATCTCTGTCTGCAAATCAAAATTAATGGATAGGTTATCAGACTGACTTAGTTCAACTTTTATGCCCATTGAAGGAGAGAATAAAGTGCAATGCCTTCAATTAAATAACGCGACATGATCCCACGGATCACTTAGAGGAGGTGTGTGACCAAATTTACTAAAATTCCAACACTCGGAACTGTCATCAGACTGCCGTGAGTGATAACAAAAAAATAACCACTCAAAACATTAGAAGAAGGGACAGATAACACAAAAAATAGAAAACTTGAGGAAAGAACGGGCAAACATGAAGAAAATGAAAGTGGATTGCAATTGTGGTTTTTGAAGAGGTTTTCAAAGTTTATTTTTGTTCTTAGCAAATTTTGGTATAATCCTTGAGAGACATATCTGTTTGACACCAAGCTGTAATTTTCCTATTCACTGCTGTTAGAGCGACGAACTTGTATTTCGAAGGCCCCGAGTTGAAGTCCTGCTCTGACTGCTGCCTGGATTTGTTCTCAATTGTCCCGAATTCAAATTCTCGGCCACGCTTGTAAAATAGCCAACTGGTTCACCTCAGTACCAGTTACAATTTTTGACCATGTTATGTTCCATTTAAATCATTTGTTTCATTATCCCTGAAAGCCCCATATTAGGGGCAGGATAATTGAAGTATTATGATAATGTTAATCATAATCATAATCATAATCATTATCATAATAGTAATCATTATTTAAATTATTATTATTACAAATTATACCAGTGAAAGTAAATTGTAGTTATTTTATACTATATAAACCTTCGAGTTTAAACCATAAAATAATTTGATCAGAAAGGGTTAGCTTTTTTTTTTTTTCCTAGGTGCCGCAAATTTTTACGACGACGTCACGGTTCGAGGTTGTCCGTTATAGTGAGAAGTGATGCCATTTGCTTTTATTGAAATGAGTGGATGAAAATTGATCGCTCTTTTTTGTATACAAATCATGTCCGGTTACATACCAAATTAACTATTACAGCTGATTCTTAAGTCGTGGTACTAGCCGATTAATAAAATGGATTTACAAAGAGATAGGAATTGCTCTTGCTGAAAGAAAAAACAACAACATCAACTAGCTTAATAACGAACAGACTACAAACCACTAAACTGAAACTTATGTCATGTTAGGCCCCTTTCAAACATGGAATTTCTTATGAGTGCCGAACACCTATTTTAGTCAAAGAAAATAATTAAAGACGGCAGTTGATTCAGACGTCGGATATAATGGTGCCGAATTTAAATCCGTTTGTTTAAATATTCCCAGTCTCTAGAAAAAATTGTTACCCAATATGGATAAGGGGTTTCTATAATTAATGCATTACATTCGGCACATGTGAAATGCGACTTCTAAATCAAATGTTGAACCTAAGTTGAATTTTCGACTGTAATTCAGTCGTAGATTGGGCAAAGTCGTATTTAATTTAAAACTGTTGATTCAGACATCGCATCTCAAAGCAGTTACCTCTAGAATTGAATTAGGCACATGTGAAATTCGACGTTTGAACTGGGTAATGGTGACAGTGCGCTATGATACATACGGCATTTTTTTATATTCCTGTAAATTTTGCTTTCAATTTACCACATTATGTTACTAGCTATATGCACCACACAGGTAAAAAAGAGAGTGAAAAAGAAAAAGAAAAAAATTAATGTCACGATAATCTTGCTTATAGAGGATTCGAACCCGGACCCTCCAAATACGTTAGAACTAAAAATGAACTCTTCTATCCAATGGCCCACCCCGGTAAGCGTTGACAAAAGACGTTTAAAACCTCAAATATGCTATTTTATTTTAACCCAATGATGAAATCTTGTCGCAGCAACAAAAAACCCTAATTCAGCGATGGTCACGTGACTGATGACGTCATCACCCTAGAAGTGACATGAGAAGATATTTTGTGGCAAATGTTTTTTGGTCTGACATTCTTCTACATATAAAATTGCTAAAGTTATAAAGCATTAAACAAATTTGCCTCAAAGGATTCTGGGATAATTTTTATGATAATTATAATTTACTTTTATAACTATT